CCCCTGTGGGTCATCATTCATCCCACTGTAGTGCTAAAGCTCACGATGGTATCTTGCGCCATCTGCAACAGTGATTTGGGCAGCCTGGCATTGCCTAATGGGATTACAGCATGGGGGTGGGAGGGGGGAGCTGGTGGGGGTACCTGGTGGGGGACCTCCGAGGGTTATCTTTACCTCCTGTCTTCCTATCAGCCTCAGACCCACCTCACTTTCAGAGGGGATGCAGTTTCTTTGTTATACCTTTCGGGTGGTCTTAACGCCTGGGGGTGGTAGTGGGAGGATGGGGGGGAGGGGGACAGACTCTTTTATCTATTTGTTCCCCAGTTTTACTGAGATATGATTGACATATAATGTGTAAGCTTAAGGTGTACGATATATTGATTTGCTACATTTATATATTGCAAGGAATTACATTATACTTTCATCATGTCACATAATTACCATTTTTTTTTTGTGGTGAAAGTACTTAAGATCTGCTTTCTTAGCAACTTTCAAAGGTATAATGCAGTAGCACTAACTGTGATCACAGCGTTGTACGTTAGGTCCTCAGAACTTACTCATCTTATAAGGGAAAGTTTGTCCCCTTTGACCAACATTGCCCCATTTCTCCCACCGCCCAGCCCCTGGGCAGCCACCACTCTATTCTTTTAGATCTTACCCCATTCACATTAGCTACTCACCTTCTTCTTTTTTAAAACAATCATTATATTTCTTTTCGTGGGGCTACTTTCTTATTATGTTTCTCTGCTTTTACAAAGAAGTAAATTGCATGGGTCTAAACTTATTACTTTAGTTTGTTCATTCATTTATTATTGATCTGAACATTTACTCATGAGTTGTTTACTGGGTAGCTGGATGGGTGCTGGAAATTCCAACTTAGAGGCTAAAAAGGAAATACAAGAATGAGTGGAATTAAATTTTAAAGTAATGCCCTCTTATCTAGAGTACCCTTTTCCTGAAGGTCTCACATCATATCGAGTATAATTTCTTTTTGGATCCTCATAAGAGCTCTCTGAACTTGATATTGGTTGAACTTGTAAGTGCACACACGATGCTCACTGGGTCTGAGATTGTGGCCTAACATGATGTCACTGTTGGTTATATCTCTCCCCTATAACTGATTTTTTGAGTGAAGCTGTACACAGCTCAGATGCATCATTTCATTATCTATGTGCTCAGACATTTCTAATGGGCTGGCTTATCTTCACTTTTGCAGACTGAACACAGAGAAAAAAACATAAGAGCAAGTGCATTTAATTTTAAAATGTTTTACTTGACTTCAAACAATTAAGATCATTAGAAAATACTTTAAAAAATTAATAAAGTTGGAACTCTGAGCTCAATCAGAAATATTCTTATTGAGTTAAAAATGATGTTATTAATTCAAGTGATAGTCTGTTTAAACTGTGTTTTCTTTCTGTGTGTATAGCCCGAGTTTGCCAATTTGTTTTAATTGTGGTGGTTTGCTGGAGTCTTTCTGACCCACCCGATCTAGACAGAATAATCAAACCTTGTTCCCAGGACTGGGGATTGTCCAAAGCCTCACCAAGGTCTTGGTGACTTGTTGGAGAGCTTCATTTTCTCCTTGCTCAGGTTCCAAATCTCGTTCTGGCCCCACCGTGCCCATAACAGCCCTTATATTTAATTTTCACAAAACCACTTCCTCAAAGTATTTGCATGTGTAGCCCATTTTACTGTAGATTTGGGAAAGTGAGAGAGGGATTTACATCGCAGATATAAACAAAGTTAAAGTTGGATGCTGGATGCACCTGCCTTTCAAAGTCCCCGGCTTTGCTGCAGCTGAGCCCGAAGCTCCCACGCATCCATGGACACTCCTTTCTCACTTTTTCTTCCTTGTCTTCCTGCTTTTTTGGGGCTTTCACTCTCTTTTATCTATTCCTTCCCTCTCAGGGTATAAAATCAGTCTTTCCCCATGTTTATTTATTTTTTAAATTTTATTTTAAATGCAAAGCAGTTAAGCTCTCACCAGCTTCAACAGCCAAATGAAGGTTGGTGCCTGCATTTATATGTTTAAGGATGTATTCTAATTAGAAATGATCCTTTGAAAGGTCCTTTTGCCTAAGTTCTTGGGAAGTGGCGGTCTTCCTCCTCATTTCTGTCTGGAGGTGAGCATGGAGGTGGGGAGAGAGGCATGCCACATAGAGAAGAGAGGTAAAAACCACGGCTTGGGCCCAGTCCAGTTTTGAATTCTGGCTTTCACTTCCCGGCTGTGTGGCCTAGGGCAAGTTATTTGACTTTCCTGAGCCTGGTTCCCTATCTCTAATGTGGGGATAATATTACTTTCTTGCAAGTTGTAGAAATGGTAAAATTGGATAACACACAAGTTGCAGGAAGGATAAAATGGAATAACACTTCTAAAGCACCTGCCCGTGCGCAGAAACTCAACAAATAGTAGTTTCCCTCCCGACACATGCTTTCCTTGAGGGCTACATATGTAAACATTAAATATTTATGAATTGCATAATTCAAAAAATGAAACTTAAAAAGGAATCTTACTCTGGATTTTTTGATGAAACAAATAATCATCCCCACTTGTCTCTGCTGCAAATCTGTACTTTTATGTGCTGCTCATGACATTTAGGTGCATTTCTCAGCACAGTGAGACTTGATTGAACCCCAACTCTCTATGCAGCTTCATAGATGTTGTAAATATTAGGTATTGATAGTGTGATTTGAACCCAACTAAGTGACTGAGGCCTAGAGCTGTCCCCAAGGTATTACTTGCAGATGGGCCTGGCAGAGCCGAATACTTAAAGAGGACATAAACACTAGTTAAGGCCTGTGGTTTGGTCTGATGGCACTCACACAGCACAGTGAAAATGGGTATTTTACCAGAAGAAAGGACTTGCCATCTGTCTTCCTCTGAAGCAGAGCAGAGCGTTGCCTCTGATGAGTGATAGTTGTCAATTAGGTCGGTTAAACATGGGCTAAGACAGCCTGTGTGAATTCCACGAGGCTGGATTTTAAAACCTGGGGTGCCAGGGTTTAATCTTAGAAACAGCATCCAGTGGAATATGTCATGTTCTTAGGGGCAGAAAAGAATACACTTAAACAAAAGAGATTTTTCCCCCCTATCGTCCAGTCAGTTGTCTAGGGGTCTGCCAGATCTAGCCCACGACCTGCTTTTGTATCAACTATGAGCTAAGACTAGTTTTTGCATATTTAAAGCATTGTGAAAGGAAAAGAAAAACATGCAACAGAAACCATATGTGGCCCACAAAGCCTAAAATATTTACTATCTGGCCCTTAAAGAAAAAGGTTGCTGATCCGTGGTCTAGAGAGTTTGAAATATCTCCAATTAGTGAAGGCAAAAGGTAACGATGATTGACTTTTTCAGTTAGTCTGATTAGTGGCAAACGCTGTCCGCCTGTTTGAACAAAGATTCATGGGCATTATTTAGGATAAATAGAATCACATTTCAGTATTTAACTGTGACCTGTTATCTCCACATGAAGTTATTCCAACTTTGTTCAGGGAACAGTGTCTCTATTTGTTGTTCCAGAAGTAGCTCATATGTCTGTCACCTCTCTCTGAAGGCCCCACCTGTCACTTCCTCAGCACAGCTCACTTGCTTGAAGGTTCTTCCTACCCTCTCCCCTGGCCTGAAAGGGGTGGGCAGAGGCCAGCTCAGGAAGGGCTGCTGACGTATTTGGCACCTTATTCTGCACATGCAGAGTCTAGGCAAGGATTTTCAGCAGGGGAGTGTGTGATCAAAAGCCAATTAAATATATGTGGTGCAGGAGTAGGAGCCCTGGGAAGCAGGTATCTGTGGGGGCTGCACTACATGGATCGAGCCTCCTGGAAGAAGTGGAGCCCAGATTGGAGCCTGCAGGATAGGCATGACTGGGGGAGGGCATAAGCAAAGGTCCGGAGGTATCAGGGAGTGTCTTAGTGTGAAACGAGCTTGGATATCAGTGTGGCCAATTTATGTGAATTTAAGGGGTATGGAATTCCAAATCCTGCAGCCAGCGAAGAGTCATGGTTACTTAGTTTAAAAGGAGGTGTGTGTGTGTGTGTGTGTGTGTGTGTGTGTGTGTGTGTGTGTGTGTTGCAGGGTGGAGGTGGGGGGAGTCCAAATGACAGTCACGAAATTGACCTCTATTCCTTACCCCCTAACTCGGTGCTGGGCCCTGGGCTGAGTGCATTACACAGATCTTCTCATTGAATCCTCGAAACTCTGTGGGCAAAGGTATTATTATCGCCCCTTTGCAAATGAGGACCTTTACATTTACAGAGGTTAAGATAACTTGTCCATGGTTCTGAAGTTAATAATGAGCAGAGCCTTGCTGGTCTGATCTAGGAGCCCAGGCTCTCACTTCCTGCGATCTTGAAGCAAGCTCAGTGTAAAACATTTTAACAAAACAGAAAAGGGAAGAGTGAAAAGCAGCTGAGATCCTGCCATCCAGGAATGACATTTTGGGTGACAATCCTTCTAGACATCTTTCTATGTATATACACAGAGATATGTATGTATTTTGCATAACCCGTGCCCAGATTGCCTAAATCCTGTGCCTGCAAAATTTACATAAATGGCACCATACTATATAGCCTAGTTTTTTTTCCCACCTAAAACGAATTTTCTAATTTTACCAAGTGGGTGTTTAGTATTTCATGTTACGACTGCACCCACATTCGCGTAACCAGTCCCCTATAGATCATTTCAGTTTCTTTTTTTTTAAAGATTTACTTATTTATTTGAGAGAAGGAGGCATGTGTGAGAGCAGTGGGGGAGGGGTGTGTGTGGGAGGGGCAGAGAGCGATGTAGAGAGAGTCTCAAGCAGATTCCCACTGAGTGCGAAGCCCAACTTGGGGCTCCATCTCATGAACCTGAGATCATGACCCCAGCTGAAACCGAGTCAGACACTCAACCAACTGAGCCACTCAGTTGCCCAATCATTTCAGGTTCCTAAGCAAGGAAACAATTTGAGAGCTTTTTTAAATTTTTAACTGAATCTTGTGCTTTCTTGCTCTCTTTGCAGCATGCCCTTGACGCTGACAACGCAGGAGTAAGTCCGATAGGAAACTCTTCCAACAACAGCAGTCACTGGGACCTTGGAAGTGCCTTTTTCTTTGCTGGGACTGTCATCACCACCATAGGTATCCGTTCATTCGCTAACATCTTTTCCTCTGGGACCCTCCTGAGAAATGGCGCTTGGTCAACATTTGGTCCTAGAACCATGACAGCTTGAGGTTCAAAGGAGGCTCATGGCACACTGTCGGATAAATGCAGGGGTTGTGAGTGGTTTTCCATAAAAGGCAAAGCAGACTAAGGAATTTCATTTTTCAAAATAAGAGGTTAGAGAGCCTTTCGTTTGAAAGGACCTGATGAAATGGTCAGAGTGGAAAATCAAAATATGGAGTGGTCAGTGGAGCTCAAATTCCTTTTTAAAAACGTGTACTTTATTACTAAGGTTGCCTATGAAAGAACCCCAAAGTTCTACAGTTCGTTATGAGAGAGCCGTCTCTGCCCTTCTGCCTGTCCTCACCTCCCCTGGGTCAACCACTCTCGTCTCTTTTGATTGATTATTTTGATATTCATTTCCTTGTCTTTAAATATCACACTTGTATTGCCACTTCCTGAATTTTCAGTGTTAGAGATTATTTCTTGACTTCCGGTTGTGGAAGGTGAGAAATTACAGTGGTCCCCTCATCCACGCTTTTGCTTTCCGGGGTTTCATTTACCCTGGGTCACCTGTGGTCCGGAAGTGGATGATTGTCCTCTGATGCTGCATCAGAAGGTCAGTAGTGGCCTCATGCTACGTCACAGTGTCTGCGTCATTCACCTCACTTCATCTCACCACATGGGCATTTTGTCACTTCATAGCATCACAAGAAGAGGAAGGGCGAGTTCAATACAGATACTACCTTTGATCTTAGCCAAAAGGCTGAGAATCAATGGGTGAGTACAGTACAATATGGTATTTTGAGAGACCACATTCACAAAACTTTTATGAAAGTATATTGTTAAAGTTATTCTATTTTTATTATTGGCTACTGTTGTTAGTCTCTTCCTGTGCATAATGTATAAATTAAACTTTATCATAGGGATGTATGTATAGGAAAAAATATAGTATATATAGGGTTTGGTACTCTCCGTGGTTTCAGGCACCCCTGGGGGTCTTGGAACCTATCCCCTGCAGACAAGGGGGGATGACTGTAGTTCTTTTTTTCCCTCCCTGCCCCACTGTAAAAGGTCTCTCTTCCCATCCTCCTATCTTCCCAATATAGTTTAATTAGATCAACAGTGGATGTTTACATGATTTTGACCAGGCAAATGCTCTTTATAACTGATCCTGTGGTGATCTATGATTACCTCTTTCCTGCACTGAATTTTGTCTTATTATATCTGTGTGTGTCTCTTTTTCTGATTCTTGGGGAGTTTTATATTTTTGTGTTGGGGGTTAACTTTATAATCATACACAACAAACTTAGTTTCTCTTCTTTAAGCAGTATTTATTAGTTCCCTATCATAGGCGATGACATCTCTTTTTCTCTCCACACAATTTCAATTGACACCATCCTTTTGATGTTTATTTTTAAATTATTAAATATACTTATGGTTCTGTTCGATGATTTGCTCACTTCAAATGGTAACTCTTGGCTCTCAGCTATTATGTATAATGCAGTCAGTGAACTTAGCATCTCAACTTTTTTCACTCTTGGGCTGTGGATTATTACTCACTGTATCATTCTATAATGTCAGAGTATATGATTTACATTCTGTTCTGTTACCCTGATACTCGCATTTGTTTTAGTCACGTTTACGAAGTTACATATTGTCAGTGTTCCTCTCTAGTCCTTCCGTGACTTTCCCCATCATCACTTGCTCAGTTGAAACTCATCTTCAAGTAGTTGCCTTAAAAATGACTCACGGGAGAAATATTCCCCAGTCCTTGCATTGCTCAAAATGGCAACCTTACCCTCCTGCGGCAGTGTGGCTGGAAATGAAATTCTTGACTCACATTTTCTTTTTTGAGGGTCTTCTGGGTGATAATCCACTCTTTTCTGATATCTGTGCTGCTGTGGAGAAACCTGATGCGAGTCCAAGTTTTTCCCCCTTTTATAAATGATTTCACCTTTTTGCTTCGCTACTCAAAAGATTATTTATCTTTCATCTGATAATACTATTAGGCTTTGTCCCTTTTATTTCAGGAAAGCATTCTTTTTTTAAAAAATTTAAATTCAATTAATTAACATATAGTGTATTATTAGTTTCAGAGGTGGAGGTCAGTGATTCATTACACCCAGTGCTCATTACATCCTGTGCCCTCCTTAATGCCCATCACCCAGTTACCCCATCCCTCCTACCCCCTTCCCCTTCAGGAAAGTGTTCTTGATTGTCATCTTTAAACACGTTCTCTGCCATATGGTTTTGGTTCTGTTCTTTGGGGATTCCGACTATACATGTGTTGTCACTTCTTTGCCTGTCTTCTGTGCCTGTCATTTCCCCCTCTACTCCTTTTTAACTCTTAAAATGTGGTTTCCATTTTGTTCATTTTATCTTCTCTATTCCTTTCCTGTTTTTGCACGGTGCCTATTTTGCCATGTATTTCTTCCGATTTTATTTTCATTTTTGTGATCATTAGGGGACTTTTTTTTCCCCTTTGTGTTTCTTTTCTGAATTCTGTTAGCTCACATTCCATTTTTCCTTGTTATCTTTTCAATTCTTTCCTGATTTCTTGCTTTTCTGCTTTGTGGTTTTGCTGTGAAGGTTCTTGGAGGTGATTACTTCATAATTGGTCACACTTTTTGTCTGGTTGGGGCAATATATTTTTCTGCTGAGTGTCTTTCATCCATTCGTAAGTGTTGCTGCTCCTTCCACATTAAAAAAAAAAAGGCAGAAGTTTTATATTTATGCTGGGATGATTTCTCTTTTAAATACTTGATTCCCAACAAACTGGATATTCCTGATCCAGCTATCTGCTAAATGATTATGTCGGGCTGGGGAGGAGAGCCAGGAGAGGTAGTGTAACTTTCCAGGTAGCACATCCCCAACTTTTCTGCTGCCAAAGAGAGAGAGTTGCCTGCAAATGTGACCCATCTATGTTATTTTTTGTTTAGTCCTGCCTCTTTGATTTTTCTGAACCAGATCAAGTTCAAGGGGGCTTCTGCTGCTCTCTCTATTCACCCTGTTTTCTATACTTGGTGCAAACAAGGGTATCTCTTTTGAAATTCAGAATGAGACCCTCGCCTTCATAATTGGATTTTTGCTGGTATTTTCTAGGGTTTTCCACTGATGAGCCCTTTCTTCCTTCTCTGTGCCTCTTCTCTTTATTTTTTCCCATATGGAATCAGTCCAACTTTTTTGGTAATCCTTACACATGTGGGGGAAGCTATGGATAAAATTCCTCTCCCAGTTCTGTTGAAAAGGAGAGTTTTCTGCCCCTCTACAAAAATGTTGTCACACTGCAATAAAAATCCTCATTCAGAAGAATGGGAGACACATAGCATTGAGAGGCAGGAGGATCTCATCATTACCACCTTTTATGCTCTCTGGAAGGACCTCCCTCATCTGTTGCTCTCTGAGGCCCAGCTCTGCCTTCTGGGAGGGTCTTCCCTCCCCCTTACCCTTCACAACCACCTCTTATGTGGGTGTTAGATAGTGTGCTCTCCTTGGGGCACATACATCTTTGATGATCGATTTCCTATTGGTGCAAATTTCAGAGGCTAAGGATTGTTTTAGAGGCACAGGCTTTTGTTACTGTTTTTAGACCTAGCCTTTAGGACCTGTGTTGTTTCATTCAAGAAAGTTATATGCAATAAGAAAATTTGGGATGAGACAGAATTGGCATTTCTTTTTAGAAATGCAAATATACAAATATATTAAGATTGGCTATTACAAATATTGGAGGTGTGCATTGCACTAGTTGGTTTGGGGCCTAGGAGCCTTTTGACACTCTAGACCAGACTGGATCATTTTAGTCCACAATCTTACAGCTCCCAACACAGGAAGCAGGGTGACCTGGCACCATTTGGTATAGAACTCAATGACCCCCTAGAGCATCACTGTAGTGGATCAGAAACGACCAGTCTCAGGTTAAATTGTGTTCATCAGCCTGGTTTTACTAAGATGGGGAAATGTGTTATGCATTTTAGGAGGATTTATAGTAAAATAATTAAAACTGAAGAAGTCTGAGCCACTTCAAGAGGTACATTTTGGGAAATGCCCTCCAGTACTCAGTGTTGGATCCATGAGACATTAGTGTATGTTAAAGAAGACAGAAAAAGAAAAAATTCTAATTTTCTTGCTTTATAAAATAGTTAAATCAGTGGTCTGTAGGAGGCACTGAAAAACACTCTAGCTTTGTTGGAATGCACACTGATGGTATTTATTGTGTCAACTTGTTAGGGTCCCAGGGGCTTGGTTTATTAAACAACAGTGTTTATTGACCACATGACCTTATGTGATGGGGAATGGTGGTGCCATCTGCCTAATGAGAAACATTTGATATGTATCATTTGCTGCCCTTTGTGATGTATGTATCCTGGAATCTTTGAGTTTGGGCAAATCACTCTTAGTCCTTGGCTTCTGCTGCCTGGTGTCCATTCACTTGTACACTCTTGTCTCCTGATAACCAGTTCCTAAGTGGTCGCCTTCCACAAGCTTGGCCTCCGGGCTTCAGGGGATGAATCACATTTCCTAAACCAATAAATCTAGTGCTTTGCCTGTGTCTGGCCGCAGTCCTTAGTTCAGAGGTGGACGTGAGATCTAGATTAGGCCAATTAGAAACTCAGTTCCTAGGCTTTTGCTTAAGCTTTGGAGGAAGTGACTTCCTCTCTTTCTTCCTGGAGGTAAATCTGGAAGGAGATAGGCCCATGACTGGCAGTCGTGTTCTTGGCTAGAATTCAGATAACACTAAAGAAGCAGCAGAAGAAAAGCAGAGTGATAAATGGGGTCCAGCTAACATCTTGTGAACTTTGGATGAAGCTACCCACAAAGTGTTAAGAAACAAATGCTGAATCCCTTATTTACTGTGGGCAGTGTGTTTCTGTTTTTATTCAAGCCAGACTGCATTGGGTTTCTATGACCTAAAACTGAAAAAATCCTAAGTAATAACACACTTATGGGTCAGAGATCACGGAGGGTCCGTAAGTGT